CAAGGAGGGGAGGGGTGCACCTCCTCACCCCCCTCCCACCTCCACACCTAAATCCACGAGGCTTTTTATCCATCATCATCGAAAATGTGTTCAAGTCATTTCACTTATCTTTTTCTTCTCATTTCTATACATTGTATGACGATGCACGGGACTATCTGAAGGTGAAGGGAACATTGCGCGCTCCTCAACCTCATGGAGCGCGTTTCACCTCTAAACTTTGATTTATTTGGAGAAATCAACACATCTGATTTTTTTTTTTTTTCCTCTCGTTTAACCCTAAACTGTAAAATTGTAAAAAAAATTGTAAAACAAACAAAAAAAAAAAATCAGAGTGGGATAATTTTATTTTAAGGGGGAAAAAATCTGTTGTAATTGAGGCTTTTGACAAAAGGAGGGTGACGCATTTTAATATGGTAATCACGCGCCCGAGGCGTGCGTCATTTATTGACAGATTTCATGTTAAATGTCTCAGGCTCACTTAGTCTTGTAGCTCTTAATTTATTATGTTTTGGGGCCCACTCTTGTACTCTCTCCTTCTCCACCCCCTGCTCCGACCCTCTGGGGTCACGCAAGCAATTCTGTTTTTTTAAACGCATGATTAATTTCTCAGTAGGGCGAGCGGCTAATGCATTATGAAGAAAGTGAAATGTATTCCAACGGGGCTAATGTCGACATTGTACTCCAATAAACCTCTTATTTTCTGCTTCTCGTGGTTTAGTCATGCTCTGCTTTGCGCACATCCTTCTCCAGGACAGAGGAAGTCGTTTCACCTTAAAAAAATAAATAAATCTAAATGATATACCAAAAATAAACCCCGATTAAATTCATGCATCTTCTAGTTTAATCTGTAGAAGTTATAAAATTTAAACTTGTGCAATTAAAGAAAAAAGCATAAACTCGTTTATTTTCACCACAATAATAATAATTCTCATCTTCGGCAGTGACGTCACAGCCCCCCCCCTCACCCTTCTTCCTCCGTCCCGTCGAGTGTTCCCGTGGCGTCCGTCCGCGAGACAAAAGCACGCGCGGTGACAGCCTAAATTGGTTTGAGAAGAAGCAGATGGGGCTCGCGCTCTCTTCTGCGCGCGCACGGATTGGGACTATAAAAAAAAAAAAAAAGCGATCCTGTCGTTTTCAAGATGTGACAGGGTGGGAAGAAACTGTAGCAATTTACTGAAGGATTTTATTCAAATTTGTCACGTTAAAATAAAATAAGTCATTTTAATACATAAATATAACACAAGATCACTTTTTGTTTGTTTTTAAGCATTTATAAGGCAATAGACTTTATTTTACGCAATAAAAAGGCCTCAGATAAATGAGGCACCACCGCTTTTCAGCTTATTTATGAAAGTTTATAAATGACACTTAAATTAAAAAAAATAAAACTTGGAACTGGCAATCCTCTTCCAAGTTTAAGTCCCAAAACAAGCAGTTTTTAAAAGTTAAAAATGTTCAGGTTGCAACTGAGAACAATGTCCAACTGTTCTTTATTGTCATTTTATTAATAATAATAAAAAAAAGTGCATAAAATCTAATTTGAACGCACAGCTGTTAAAGTTAAGAATGACTGCAGAGTGAAATAAATATTACATTTTGGGTATTGTAACGTGCACACACAGAGTTATTAATACATATAATACACTATTTGATTGTTGTTGTGTGTGTTTTTTTCCCCTTTAAGATCCTGCAAGGAATGAGACGTGCAGAATAATTATCATTGCATGTCATGCTGGTCCTTAAAACCTAAAAACAAACAAACAAACAAACAAACAGTTAAGGTGTTGAGTTTAACAGATGTTCAAGCTGATTTTTAAGATGAATCTCTGATCAAAGCTTTTTATCAATCCACATTTTTCATTTAGGAAAACCAAAAACTGCAACACATTGGGAAAATAAATAAATACATAAATAAATAAATAAATGTCCTTTTTTTTTCATCAAAAATTTGCTTGGTGACCATTGTTGTTGCATTGACAAATATAAATAACATTAATCATTATTATAATTTGTGGTTTAATGATTTCTACTGAAATAAGTATGTTTATATTATAATAAGGCATTTTTTATTTCTTGAACTCTCTCCACTTTTGGAGTTATTGTTCATGGTCCCAAATAAAAATACTAAAATGTCCTGTGAACAATTAAGTTTTAATTAATTAACAAGGACCTTGAGAAGTATCTCTTCCCCTTCCCCCAGCCCCCCAAAGAATTAAACATGATCCCTGTAGTTGTCACCTTCAGATGATGGGAGATCATTTCAGCACATACAAATTCTAATTGATATTAAAAGATGTGTCAGCATCTCTGCTTTAAGAGTTTTGAATAAGGAACTCCATGGCACCCATCCCCTCCATTTGGATAAATAAATCAATCTTTCATTGAGACTTTGAAGACCCATTTCAGGTGAGTTGTCACAGTCTCTGGTAGCACTCTGCTGGTTCTGATCTCCTGTTACCTTCAATTACAACAGATGATAGCCCATAGGCTGCAGCGTGCTTCCTGCTGCCGTGGATCCCCTGAGACCAACCTGCACAGAGAGTCGAATTTCCAAAAGCCTCCTCAGCCTTGGATGTGGGTATCAGCTGCCCTGACGGACATTATTCTGATCCCCAGACTGTCTGTCTGCTGTCTCAGCTTTTATTCACCCCACCCCCCCACTTATTTTTTGTTGTTATAATGTTTTAATCATAACGGTGTGCGTTTAAAAGCCACATTTCCAATCATCTTCGTGTCCGCTCCCTTTAACATCAGTTTAATTAATTTGTAACTCTGGTGCAAGTCGACCAGGAGGCATCCAGCCGAGCTTTTTGGAAATTAATTTAAAATTAATAAGATTTGGTGAATAATATTGCGAGGAAATTAAGTAAAAGTGTTCTAAAATGTGCACGAGTTGGAGATGAGGGGTGCGCGCGTGCGCAGACTGTCTCAGTTTGACTTTTTACCCTGCGTTTTGACAGTTGGAGAGGAGCGTCTTTTTATCACTTTACTCGGACGAGCAGGCATGGGGAAGTGCGCGTGGGCGACACGTATGCGCGTGTTTGTCCTGACTGGTGGGCTGAACTCGGCTGCCGCACGCCAATCAAACTCCAGGCAGGTGCGCGGTGGAGAGACGGCGCGGAAGTGATGGAGAGAGAGGGGGCGAGGATTAGGACGGCGCGTGGCGCTCTGAGCGGCGAATAAAGCGAGCGCGAGCGGCGCGGTTTACTCACATCTCACGAGCTCACTCCTGAAGAAACCAACTCCGCGAGCTTCCCCTGGATCTAACCGAGTGTTTGTGTAAGAGAAAAGCAAACGATGAGTTTAACGCTGCGAGGGAGGAGAGTTGTGATGTGACGGAGTAACTTCCGCTCGACAAGTTTTGGGAATATCCGCTAAAAGTCCGAGGTAAGGACCGCGCGCCGTCTTTGACTTTAGTTCAAAGGAATCTTAGCTAACCGCTCATGTGGCGCGCGCGAGACAACACCGAGCTAATGACGTCTTCTTTCTTTCCCATTTAAAGATGAAAAATTAGATTTTCATGCGACATTCCGTGACATTTCCAAACATTGCATGGATTCTTCTTATTATTGTTATTATTATTATTATTATTATTATTATTGTTATTATTATTATTATAGTTATTATTATACAGTTTAATTAGTGTTTAAGCGAGTTTGAAAAGTTTACTTTCCCTAGAGTCATATGCGCTGTAATGGCTCTTAAACTAATAATAAGGATAAAAAATGGAAACAAATAAAGAATATTTAAAAGTTTTTATATATTCAAAAATATGTATTTAATTTTGCATTTTGGGATATCTGTACATGCCAAACTCAGGAACACTCTGTATCATTATTGTTAGTATATAATAATATTCATGATTTTTTTCCCCTGTGTTTTCTAAAGTAATATTTGGTTGTTTAGGACTGTAAGCCTATTGGGGGCTCATTTTATTTTACTGCCAAACATAAAACACAAACATAATTTGGTAAACTTTGTTTTGATTTTCTCTCACCCACTTCATGAAAACATCCCCAAATAATGACTAAAATGTTGCCGTTTGTAAAGTTGGCTTTTTTTCATTCCTGACAATTATTATAAAGCTTTTTTTTTTTTAATGAAGAAATAAAATACATATTAAACTATAGTTAAACAAATAAAAAAATAACAATAATAACACTGAGTGGGGGAAAAAAATACTATTTATGTTTTACTGTTGTAAGTTTTCCATAAATTGGCTTCACATACAATGTAGACTCTGCTGCAATATTTTCTCCTATGTAGATGATTTGCTTTTTCCCTCCAAATAAAACGATTTTATTAGGCTGTGTAAAATTATAAAATGTAAAATTCCATTAGTGCATAAATCTATAAAATGACTACATTTAAAAAAAAGAGAAAAAATATAGATACTAAGTTTCTCTGTAAAAGTAATTTTTAAAGTGTGCTTTTCTCATCCTCTTTTTGATACTAACACCACTAAATGCTGAAAATGTATAGAAAAATCCAAAGCTTTAAAATCTAACTATGATTTTTTTAAGCAAAACACACGCGCACGCACAAATTGTATTTAATACAAGTTTTTTGTTGTTGTTGAAAATGCTTAATTTCAAGTAGAATTTATTTATTGATATATATATATATATTTCTTTCAGTCATTTAAATTCACATCACTCTAAAATAAATTAATTACATTTTGATTTATATGCAGGGATGTTTGTGGTTTAAAACATGTTCATGTTTAAACTTAAAGAAAAACATTTTAAAATAAACTGAAGAAACTAAAAAGGACAGAAAAAAATCTGTTTTTTATATATTTTCTCAAGTATTTTTTTAAATTTTGCACAGCATTGCAGTAATTAATTATACCATGCGTGCATGTTAAATGTAACTTCCCATTCATAAATTGAATAAAAATAAGCATTATTTTTTACAGTTAAAATTAAAAACATGCCTTTTTGTTTTCTTTTTCGTTTCTTTTTTCAACAGGTTGTTCCAAGACCAGTTTTAATTCAAGTATGGACAAGACTCATCTTTCAAGCCCTAACGACATAATAATGACAAACTCAACAGGATCTTATCAACAAGAGCCTCTCACTCCTCCCAGGCCCGCCCATCTTCACTCCTCATCCTCCTCCTTATCCTCACCCTCTCCTTCCTCTTCCTCCTCGCCGCTCAAACCCAACCAGGTTGGTCAGGTCATCCTATACGGCGTTCCCATTGTATCACTAGTTATTGATAACATTGAGAGACTCTGCTTGGCACAAATTTCCAACACACTCCTGAAAAACTACAGTTACAATGAGATTCATAATCGACGTGTGGCACTGGGCATCACCTGTGTCCAGTGCACTCCGGTTCAGCTGGAGATCCTCCGCAGGGCCGGCGCCATGCCCATCTCGTCTCGCCGCTGTGGCATGATCACAAAGCGTGAAGCCGAGCGCCTGTGCAAGTCCTTCCTGGGAGAAAACTTGCCTCCAAAGCTGCCCGACAACTTTGCCTTTGACGTGACACACGAGTGTGCCTGGGGTTGCCGTGGTAACTTCATACCAGCGCGCTACAACAGCTCCAGAGCCAAATGCATCAAGTGCTCTTTATGCAACATGTACTTCTCCCCAAATAAGTTTATCTTCCATTCCCACCGCACACCAGATGCCAAGTACACTCAGCCTGATGCTGCCAACTTCAACTCCTGGCGACGGCACCTCAAACTGTCTGACAAGCACCCACAAGACGAGTTAGTCTACGCATGGGAAGACGTCAAAGCTATGTTCAACGGAGGAAGTCGAAAGAGAGCGCTGCCCTCCTCAAGTCATTGCTCATCCATGGGTCCTATGAAGACCCTCCCAGGTACAGTTGTGCCTCACATGATGGGACCTGACTTGGGCGCTCAGAAAAGAGGTCGCTTTGAGGACGAGGACGATCTGGATGGAGAGAGTCTGTCTCCCCGCAAAACGCCATGCAACTACCCCGTCATCCCAGTCCCGAGCAAAGGCTTCAGCATGTTGCAGAAGTTTCCCACCACCTCACTCTTTCCTTCTCCATATCCATTCCCGGGGTTTGGTCTCTGCCAGCAGAAAAAAGAGGACAGTGATGTTTCAACTGTGCAGAAAGGAACAGGACTGTCAGGTTTCTTATGGCCTGGTCGTAAAGACACTTTTTATCCTCCTTTTTGCATGTTTTGGCCTCCAAGAGCAGCAGGGGGGATTCCCGTCCCCACTTATCTCCAGCCTCAGCCCAGCACCCTCACCTCTCTGACAGAAAACTCATCTCTCAGGCAGGCCTTTCTGGATCTCTCAGACCCCAGTGATGCTGGGACAGTGAGCGGCAGTGGAAATGGAGTTGGCACGACTATAACCCCAAGCAATGGGACCACTACACCAAGATCAGGGTTGTTTGACCCAGAATGCGCAACAAGAACCGCTGATCTTCGCCCCGTGACATCAGAGGGATGGCTCAAGCTGTTGGACAACACAGCTCTCCAAACAAGGAAGCCGAGCTATGGCTCTGCCTTCCGTCCAGTCATCAAAGACGCAGAGAGCATTGCCAAGCTACACGGCAACAGCGGAGGAGTCGTTGGGGCAACAGATGAGGACTTCGGAGTTGTGGTCACCGGGTCAGACCGACACCAGCGACTGTCACCCACCAGCAGTTGTAGTTACGGAAGCGACGGCGAAGCTGGAGAGGAAAGCGAAGAGGAGGGGGAAGTGGACGTGGAGTCTTCAAAGCAGGAGGACGAGGAGGAGGAGGGGACTTTCACAAGCAGACCCCCACAGACTCCGAACAACCTGTACCACCCTGCCCTGAGCGATAGCACCGGAGAGCAGAGGGGGAAGGACAGAGGGAGCAGCGCAGTGTATCCCAGCACTTCTCCAGGATCCTCCTCGAACCCCATGCAGGACTCCCCCAGCCTACCTGCCTCTCCACGTGCCAGCTTACCGCTCTCCAGCTCCACCCCGCCTCACCGAGAGGACGCAGCTTATAAAAACGTAAATATCCCCACAGGCCACTTTAGCTAATTATTATTTAAATGGTGCAGCAGTCAGGCAGTGTTGTGATCTGCATAAGCAGATTGATAGCCTGGTTTCTCCCTGTAGAAATTGAAACAGTCACCCTACTCTGATCCCAGCTAATAGACCCAGGCGTGGATTGTTTAATAGACACAGAGTGTTTGTTCTCTCTCCATCACCCCAACCTGTTAGGGCAACTCTAATCTTTAACCTTTTGACTCCCACATTAACCAGGCTGTTGACAGGAGGAAGAAGCAACAGAGTAATCCAACATTAACCGTATATGAACTTATTGTATATCTTGTAGTGAGAAGCACCAAATTTGGACTCGTGATTAATTCTGTCATTAATTTAGGAAACAACAGACATTGCCAAACAGGGAGAAACCTTAAAACGTAAATAAGATGAAGGTAAATTGCACAGAGCTGAAGAAAATAAATCGGATCTGCTTTGCACATCCTGCCATCCTATAAATTTTATATTTTCATGTCAGCAAAGTTCACGACATGAAAGGAAATGCTTACTGACAATTTGTTTTTCTAGGTTCAGAAAAACCGAGATGAAGGACTACCGGCGTACGCAACCAAAGACAATTCCAGCATTTCAGGTGGGCGCAAACATTTGGATACATTTAAGTCTCTTATTTCTTGCGGGATTGTGCTGCGCAGTACTGAAAATGTAAAACACCTGTGACAAAAAATATTATTATATTCATAATAATCTGATCCTTACGACTTGTAAGATACAACAAATTAAAATGTTTAAATCTCATTTTTTGCACAGTTTTTAGAAATAGCCTTGCCCACTATTTAAGTGAACTGTTACGATTTGATCAAACGATGGAGTCAGTTGTATTATAGCCTCTTCGTTTCATTTATTGTCTGACTGAGTGGTTTTCTAGTGTTCCTGAACCCTGCAAGGCTCGCATCCCTGCAATGTTTCATTTGCTCCTCTCATCTCCCATTTGGACCAGTTTTGTGCAGGAAAATGCCTCTTTGTGTGTTTTCTTGCAGAGCGTTGACAAACACAAATACTTAACTCATAAATGCACACACACATTGGAGACACACACCATGCACACACTTAGTTATCTCCATGTGTCCGGATAACCAGTGGGCCTTATTGACTCTCCCTTTTTATATCTGTTTGTCTTTCTCCCCTATTTTCTTCCAGAAGAAAACAAAGAGCAGAGAAGTTTCTTTGTGCCTGAGAGCGAGACTTCTTCCCCAAACTATTGGAGAGAGTGCTCAGGTACAAGCATTTTACTTTTTTTTTGTTTTGTTTTTCTCCTTACGTTGGACTGCAAGTTTCAAGTTCAGATGAAAACACAAGTATTTAATGAGTATTGCATTCAAACTAGTTAGGATAAATTGTAATTAGGACAAAAGTACAAATAATTATATATATATATATTGGGGCTTGACAATAATTCGATATCGATATATATCACGATATACTTTTATTCAATAACGGCGATATGAGTTTTAAGCACATTTTCAATATTTCGATATACACTACCCTATGATTACAGCATTTCACCGACATGTTTCTTTTTCCGTTCGGATTGAAGTGGTCGCTTCAACCGGCCGCCGTTTCAACCCAAACAGAAAAAAGTGCAACACACAACTACGTAAGTGCGTGGTGACGGACACCACACAGAGTTTGAGTCCAGAAGGAGTCAGCGCTAGCATGCTAGGCTAAGCTAAGCTCCAACGCGCGGTACGTTTTCACTTCAAAATGAGTGCCCATGACCGTCAGGATGTGACTGAACAAGCTTTCACAAGCGAAGAGAAAGCAGATGACATGATTGATAAGAGAGGAAAGACTAATTTGGCGGTGTGGAAGTGGTTCAGCTATCTAAGATCCAATAAACTACAGGTTTCAGTGTGCTGCAAAATGTTTAGGAGATTCATTCCAGTTAGCGGTGGGAACACATTTAACTTGTTCCACCATCTGAAGAGTTTCCACCCAATAAAATATGCTGAGAGTCAGAAGATGAAGCACAGTAAAAGTTTGAGCCAACGTGTCCCTGAAACGACACCCCCAGCTGTATCAAAAGAGAAACACATGCAGCAACATGGGTTTATAGGTTATGTTATTTAAAGTTAAAACTATTAATATTGACAAAGTTGAGAGTTTTATGTTTATTTGACGGTGATTTCAAATTTCTTTGAAGGCTAAATACAAATAAAAAGTGAACATTAATTTATTTTTACAGTTTTTCTGAGGCTTTTATATCGATATCGGAATTATATCGTTATCGATTGAAATTAAGAAATATATCGTGATAAAGTTTGGCGATATCGTCCATCCCTAATACATACATACACACATATATATACATATATATAATGCTCGTTGTTAGCGTTATCCTCTCCGTACATTTCTTCACTCAGATGAGGAGTAAAGGGATTCTCATAAATGTACCTAAATATGAAAAGAAGTATAAAGCTGCTACTCTCTTCAGCAGCGCTGTCACCAGCACCGTTACTCTTAGGGGGGCTGTTATAGCTCAACAAGAAAACATCAGCTCATATATAAGCATTGCGCTGCCAATCTCCATCCTGGGCCCATATCTCCACTGACATAATTGCCTTTCCCCCCCTTTCTCAGTGCAAAAAAACTTTTCCCGGTTTAAAAAAAAAAGTAAAAAATCACAGCTTATTGCCTTTTTATATCTGTCAGGGAGACATTAAAAGTGCTTTATGACATCTGTGCCAACATTTATATCTACAACCCCCCTTTCCATTCCCTCAACCCCTACACATGCAGACATCGTAATGATCCCTGTGCATAATGTATAATGTATTTCAAAAAATTACACGAAACAAATTAAATGAGACCACCTTTCCCCTGATTGCCAAATGTCTCCCTGGGCGGTAGGAAGCTCTACGTGATTAGAAGGCCTGATTCCTTTGAGTCCCACCCCCCACTCCCTCACCCCCCCTCCACTGTCTTTAAACTCTCCCTCTGTTTCTAGGGAGAAAAAATAATCTAATTTTCCATTTATGTAATGCAAACCGCCTTGGCTTTGACTATTCACGGTTAATTGACTGTCAAACGAGGTTGTTATCCTCGGGCAGTGTCTGCAAATTTGCTTATCAAATGAGACAGAGAGAGGAGAGGAAAGGAGAGAAGGGAGCTCTCTGTGCTCACAGTGAGAGAGCGAGAAGCATGGGGAGGCCGAAGGAGCCAGGACACAACATGACTGAAGAAGACTGTGCACATCCAGTGTGCTGGATCGCTTAATTTAAAACCAAACACACACACTCGCCTAACAATGTGGAGATGTTTGCATCAGAGACAGAAAAATTCTGAATAAGATTCATTAAAGTGCAGAAACATAAACTTGTTCTGCTAAACACTGATTCTAAACATGTTAAAATTATTTACCTGTTCACAACAGTCACTGAGACAGGGACAGAATAATTTATCAGCTAAAATAAATGCAACAGCTGACGATGCCTGGGCTGCTGTTTTTCTGCTCGGTGGATTAAACTCTTTCTTGTTCACAGTAAACTTTTGCTTCATCTTTACCAGAATTATGTGATTTTTATCTGGAGGCAAGATGTTTGACTAGTAGTGACCACAGTAAAATAGTTTAATCATCCAGTTAGCAAACATACTCTGACACCTAGAGGACAAAACCTGAACTGCAGTATTTACCTGAACGTGGACAAAAAGAGAAAATTTAAAACAAAATACAGGGAAATATACAAAAAGCTAGTTAATTATAATTTTTATGAGCATTGGATGACTTTCACACAAATGTTTTTACTTAATTTTGATAAGAATAATGACTTTTTTGTAGACTACATGTAACAATGAACAACTATTATCAGTTGCAAAAATGCACTTTACCTTCAGTAAAGTTGATTTAAAGTGTTTCCTTTATGTCACATTTTTAAAGCTGCTGCCTAACTGCATTATACATAGGTTTATTTATTTACCACTATAAATGAATTTAGCAAATTATCCTTTTTTTAAACACATCATACCAGCTACTTGTAGCTGATCTTCTGTAAAACGATCCTTAAACAGAGTTGTACTTCTACATTCATCGGTGTAACTCTCTTTTGATCTGCGCTAAATTGACTCTGTGTTTTCAGGTGACCAGAGCCGAAGTGCTTCCTCTCCTGTGGCGCTTAAGAAGGATGTCGAGAACATGGAGAAAGGTAAAAGTTCTTGAGCAATACGTGTTATGGTCCAAATTCTTCACGGGCTTTATTACTATTTATTGACTGACTGACTGCGTTCCTTGTACTTTCCTGTTTTGTTTTCATTTTGTAGAAGAGCTCCAGAAGGTTCTTTTAGAGCAGATTGACTTCAGGAGAAGACTGGAGCAAGAGTTTCATGCCCTGAAAGGCACTTCACCATTCCCAGTGTTTCGTAAGTCCTTTCACTTACTGGGAGGAACTTCCTTTTTTTTTTTTTGTCCTACCATTTGCACTAGTTTCTGTTCATATAGCTCCTCCTTGCTCTCGAGCTCAAATAATTTACATGCACATTTTTTATTTTATTTTATTTTTTAATTTAACCTTTAAATAAAAGGTGGCTGAGTGATTAGAGCAGTCATCTTCCAATGCAAGAGTTGGGGGTTCGATTCCACCAGCAGTCACATGCTGAAGTGTCCTTGGGCAAGACACCGAACCCCTCATTGCCTCTGATGTGTGTTCCATTGGTGTATGAATGTGATTTAAAAGCACTGATTAGTCTTTGTACAGCTCTAGTAGAGAGCTAATGGGTAAATGAGGGCACAGATTGTAGTGTAAAGTGCTTTGAGTATCTTGATTAGATAGAAAGGCGATATACAAGTATAGTCCATTTTACCAGGATAAAATCCCACTGAGATTAAAGGCCTGGCCAAGACGCAGCAACAAATAAAACACACAAACAAATTACACAGTTAAAAGAAAATGCCAAGCTATAAAAAAAAACAGGTACATGTTATTGAATTGGCTTCAAGAACTTTTAAATTGGATGCAAAAGCACTGAATGAGATGAATTCTGTCAGTCTCAGAGATTCTTGTATCAAGTTCAAAGAAGAGGGAGCAGAGTGAACAGAAGCCTTCTTACCCAGAAGGCTGAGCAAAAAGGACAGAAAGAAGAGCAAATCGCGTGAGCGAAAAGTATAAGAGTCAACATTTCTCAGCGCAATTGCAGTACAAATATAGGCCGGCAGGAGTCCAAGCAATGCCTTGTAAATAAAAGTTAACCAATGGGAGTTCCTTCAAGCAGCCAGACCAGGCTATCCCACCCCTGAATATAAATCACAATGGTGTGTTGACATTTTGCAGTTTGTAATGAACCTCAGAGAAGAGAAGTAGAGCCAAGCATCTTAAGACATTGTGAGGAAGCAAACACAAAAGATCTCCTTAGTCTAACACAGACTTAAAAGTTGCAGAGGCAAGCCGCTTTTTAGCAGTATATGAAAAACAATTTATTTAGAAAATAAAAGCCCAGCTTTCCACATGGAGTTTGAAAGTGAGGGAATCATCAAGCAAAATACCCAAATATTTATCCGTGTATGTGTGAACCAGCTCTATTTAATTTCCACTGCAAGAGAACACAGAGGGGATCTTTTGTGGTCCTCTGGATCTGGAAAAGTACATCAATTTAATTGTATATACAGGACAAGTTTTAAATTTAATCAAGCGAATTGAATAGCAGCAAATGCTTTTTGTAATAATTCAATAGCTTGAGTAGGGGTGGATCCAGTGCAATAAATAACTGTCGTCTGCATAAAAATGCATTAGACACAATATGTCCCAATTCATTTATATAAATTATGAATAGAAGAGTACCTAATATAGTACCCTGCGGTACCTCCTTATTAACAGTCACAACTTCAGAACATAAATTATCATATTTAATACATAATTTGTGAAACCAGCAACAGCTTCTCCTGCAAACACTTCTTCAATCAGATAGCTTTAAAAAAAAATAAAATAAAAATCAGTTTTTCAAATGAAGGTAACGTTCCACCTAATCCCAGATTTTGTACCAATTTCAGATAATTTTCAAGATCAGATGAAACGGGAGCTCGCCTACAGGGAAGAAATGGTCCAGCAGTTACAGATGGTAAGAATGCTAATGTGAATTGTTGACACTGATGGAAGTTAATGACAAATAGCACATTTCATTATAGATCATCAAATAATAATAAAACATGAACACAGACTTCATTTTGAAGCTAACTCTATTATTGCATCGACTAAGATTCAGCACTTTGTAAACATTAGTTCTATTAAAATAATCTAATGGAGTCCTGTGATACCTTACAATATTTTAAGCCATGGGTTAAATAAAAAAAAAAAAAATAGAAGTCAAATTGTTATTTTCTTGGTTAGAAGTGAAATAAACAGTAGTTTAGTTGCTTATTTGTCCATCAAAAGACAGAACCAATCATGCAGTTTGTCTTTCACGGGTGAGGAGTTCCTCTGCAGCCATCCGAGTGTTTCCGTCGACATCAATCACAGGAGCAGCTGGCAGACAGGCTGACAGACACTGTTTATCTTTGCTGTTTGACACATGCTACAACTGTACTCGCTTGTACGCACATGACAGCAAACTGTGCACGCGCACCGATAAAAAAAAAACACACGCACACAAAACACACGAGCAAGCTGCATCGTGTCATTACAAAGGCAGACGACTAAAGAGGCTTTTAAAGTCATTTTGAAGGCATGCACGTGCTCGCCAACGTGCACGCACGCACTGTAATTGACAAATGTGTCTAGAACCAGCAGATGGATCTGTCTGAGAGTAATGACACATTAATTTCACACAGACATTTAAATGAACTCCAGAAATGTTTAATTCATGTGTGCAGTTTTGAAACTTTCCACATATCTCGCCAACACTGAAAATGCTTCTGAAATCCTGATGTTTTCTTTTCAATTAAACGAAAGTGCTTCATTGACAACTTTTTTACAGTGGGGCCATGTTTGTTTATTTTAAATCCATCATTACTTTGCCTAAGAGTTGTTTTTTTTAATGTCTTTCAGATTCCCTACGCAAACATCATCAGAAAAGAAAAGATCAGCTCTCATCTCAGCAAGTAGCCAAAAAGGTAACTTCATGAAGTTAGTCTCATTTAACAAAGACGGCAATGAGCCCAGAACGACAATATAAAATGTGCCAATGTAAACTTTTAACAGTATTAGAAAAAATAAAATAAAAACCAATTATTTACCTTTTATTTATTTGTTCACAGTGAATCCAAAGAGGAAGGAAGCTGCTTGAACTTTTGCTGAACGTCACAAATTCTCTTTATTGAAGTGAGATAAAACCCACCGGAGAAATACACGATCAAACCATCGTGTTTCTACATTTCTTGACGGTTTTATTATTCAACAGCTTCATGAGAGCCACCTCTGTTTGCTGACAACACATGTGGACCACTTCATACTACTATTGTATCGGAACGTTGGTAAAATGCAACCGACCGTGTCATTTTTCCTTTTGGTTATTTATTTATCTCCTTTTTACTAAGTGAAATGAAAGCGATCCACACAAACTGGTGACAAAAACAAACAAACAAACAAAAAACTTGCGCCATTGTCAGATTTTAAGCTATTTTCCACCAGGACCAAAGCAAACATGACCCCTAAAGAGACTTGGTGAAGCTCTTAGATGTGGTAAAGACCACCTGGAGAGAAGTGCACATGCTGTACGTCAAGCAGCTGACAAAAACCGTTGAAAAGTCACGAGTGTGCACACATTACTGATTTGGTATTTAGCACACACAGAAAACATCTGTTTTGTGATCGAAGTCCAATCCCATACTCTGTTTACACAAATCATCATTACCACTAATTATCAGCATTATTTGTTTACATAAATATAAATTAACCTAGCATATGTCCTGTTAGTGTTCAGGGTTGTGTACCTAATGTTAGAGGAACAGCAGTATTAATATAAGATGATGACATGAGAAAACAGTGTACAGACCCAATATTTTATTTAATGCACACACTTAGGTATTCTACGCACTGCGTTGTCAATGTATCATATGTAATTACTCATATTTATTGTTTTATTTATACACAAAAATTACCCCAAACTGTGCGTTGTTTGATGGCTTTGTACTGAATCAATTTAGAGCGGGTGGAATTTTACTCTAAAGCACACAATGTTTTTTTTTAACCTTCAAAAATTCTCAATATTCACCTGGTGTGAAAGTATATTGATGGTGAACAGACAGTTAAAAGCTCTCTGCAAGAGTCTTCTTTATTTCCAATAATGTTTGCAGCTGATGTTTATCTATTTGTAAATGATCTCATTAGACTGTACAAAATGTCACTTAAAAATACTGAACCTTACAGTTTCTCTATCTACATGTGTTTATTTATTTGAATATCGAATCCCGATTCCCTAATTGTGAAAATGCTATTTATTAAAACGTTTAAAGAAAAATAAATAAAAAAAGCAAGCAACACAATGGTGATATGACGAGGAAGGTATGTCAAAAAGAGAACATACATTTCACTCACCTGTTTATAGGAAGAATGAAGTTGCCATCTACTGATAGTGTTACCATTATGAACTGTTACTGCAGATGTATTTCAAAATGTTCTTGTAGTTTCTCTACTATTTATGTGTAAATTAAAAGTCTATATAAAAACACTGTGGTTTCATTATAGTGGGCATTTTGTGAATTATGTCAACGTTGTTATGGAAGCTTTTAAATGCAATGCAGCTACATTCCATTGATTAAAAAAAATGTAAAAAAAAAAATCGTGTACTTTTCATCTCATAAGAAGTTTGACTACAAACAAGCTGAATGAACTACAACGCCCAGTCGATTTCACGACATCCGCTGTCGGTTTACGGCCACGGAGCTTGAAGAGGAGGAGAGTCAGTTGCCAGCATGGCGTTCACCCTGTATACTCTTATCCAGACCGCTATTTTATGCACTAATGCCATCGCTGTGCTGCATGAGGAGAGATTTCTCAGCAAGAGTAAGTGTTTCTCTTTGTAGCTTGTTTATTTGTAAAGTAACGCAGTTTTAATGCTAACGAGAGCTGGGCAGGAAGCGCTGCTCGTCTTGCAGTCTCATTATGTCGGTAAACTCAATTTAATTACCATGCTGGGATTTAGAAACAGGTTACATACTAATATATGCTGTCATGTTTTATATTCTGCCATAACCTACCGTCTCCATTTATCGTTTCTTGTCCTAGTATGGCAAGCCGATTTATCATATAATAGTTGGACAGGCGCTGAGCTTTTACTCATAAATCAAACTTTTGTCATGTAAATGCATGCTTTGAAGATTTGCTGCATTTCAGATGTCTAAAACATTATTTTTTGTAGAACAAATATCAAGTCTACATAATATTCTAATATGCATTCCTACTTTTTAGCTCGAACACTGCGAAAAAACAATCTTTTGATAAGAAAAATGCATTTTTAGTCACTACAGTTCCATTATTACAAGTCATAAGTGTAATTAAAAAAAAAAAGGAAAACAATCAAACATCAAATAAATCTTATAATTAGTTAATTAGCAACTTCACCCACTAATAATCAGACTACTCATTTCTAAAATAAAGCAAACATGTATTTTGAATATTTATTTAAAAAGTTGAGGAATTTAATTTTAACATTAAACACGTTGCATGAAATTTGTGACTAACATCCACGCTGTCAATATCGTAATCGTTTCTTCTCGTAATTATTCTGTTAGATTTCTATAATATTAATTCTAGATATGAAAAATCAACTTATTTCATCCAGAAAGATGAGAAATGAGGATTTGAATATCTGAAATGCTAAAAAAGATTTGTATATTTTCATCCTTGAACTTATATATTGACTATGCTATTTGTTAAATAACTAAATGGTTAAACTGCCAAGTGATTGTTTCATGAAAAATCTTGTGGCCTTTATAATATACTTTGCATTAGCAATAATATTATTCTAGATCTCTAGAAGGTATGACACTTTAAGAAGAATTCTAAAAAAAAATGTACCCAGAGATTGATTAATTCAACCTTTATTTATATAGGTTAATCTCATTGAGTTACTTACGAGAGACCTGCAGCTATCTTACAATATTTATTTAGATAAGTTTATTCATTTTTTAAAAACAAAACAATTCAATATACAATAAGAGATACAATCACAAATAAAAAGAAAGGCAGCATAATTATTTATTTATCTTACAGTATAACTGTGTATCATCAGCATAACAATGAATATTGATCCTGTGCTGTTTAATAACTTATAGATATTTGTCCTGAATGATTAAAAATCTACATAGCAGAACTTAAAGTATATGATATAGAGCATGTAATACCAAAGTTGGTGTCGGATTGTATTATTGTCATTGGATTGTGGTTTGATTATTTGGCTCAACCGCCTTCCTTAAACTTTCCTATTTGTTTCCAGTCGGTTGGGGTGTAGAACAAGGAGTTGGAGGTTTTGGAGATGATCCAGGAGTCAAAGCTCAGCTCCTTCATCTCATCCGCTCTGTTCGGACCGTCATGAGAGGTTGGACGAATCTTTTTATTTTTAATCCACATAATCATTTATTCCATAAACTTAGATGTAAAAAAAAAAAAAAAGTTTTTGCATTATTTTCTTGAGAAAATAACTGCGGTCGGTGATGACAGTTTGTCAACCTGTGTTTTTCCTTTGTGTTTTTTTGCAGTGCCTTTAATATTAGTGAACTCTGCATGCATCGTCCTGTTGTTGCTGTTCGGTTGACCGCTGACCATGGATGCTTCAAGCCAGAGGATTCAACGCTTGCCAAAGAACAAAGAAAACACACAAACCTTCACGCACTAAGCAGTTTGTCATTTAGAGACTTCATGAAAAAGTTCTTTTTTTTTTCTTCATTCTTTTCATAAAGTGAAACTCATAAATTCATTACACATATATTTCAAGCGTTTATTTCTTTCTCTTCTTCCTTTGATGATTATGGCTTACATATAATGAAAAAATAATAATTCAGTGTCTGATTTTCAGATAAATATGTAAAATATGAGTTTAAATGATTTACAAATAATTTTAACTTTTTCACAATATTGCACCTGTAATCTAAATATGTCTTGAGTTGTTTTTTTTTTTTTTATTCTGCTCACGAGCACAAGAACCACCTAACATTTAATTTAGCGAAAGTCTTAACGCATGGTGATAACTCTTTTTCTGCTGCACAGAATCTGTTGATTATAATCTCAAAAGATGGATTGACAGGAACCGGTTCAGATGACGAAAGGATATGTGCCATATGTTTTGTGAAAACATTGTTGGGACTTTTTTTTATATTTTCATTCTTATTTGCAACAGTTTAAATTGCTCCAAACCTCGTGAGAGTGATTACTTCTATTCACTGTTGTGTAAAACCTGTTTTTTTTTTTTTATGTCTAAAAAAAGTGTACATTTTAAACTGTATTTCCAAAAACAACTCAAACCTCTTTAATGTTTACACGTTGTCCAGTGCTTCAAGCATTGAGATGTGCTGCTGTTCTGAATTAAATGCAGCATTCATGGATTTGCGTCTTCGGTTTGTTAGAGTTAAGAACTTTATGATGCTATTAATCGTATTTAAACGAGCCAACCCTCACCTTTCAATGAGTGCACATTTCTTTCACGTTTCATGTTGGGTCCATTTGTCTTTATCCACTTTAATAATAATCCCAATATGTTGTGAATTATCATCCTCTCCCCTGTTGCTCCACAACCATGTTTATTCACATCAGTTTTGACCCTAAAAATAAAGGATTTGAGGAGAGAGGCTCTGCTGGAATTAAAAGCATATGTTTAACAGGGAGATTTGAACACGAAAGCCACTTTGATACGTGATTAGTCTGGGTTTAGGCGTGGGGGCTCACGGAAAAAGCTGAAAGCGATCACAGCCTACTCAACAGGACAGTGTTTGTGCACATTCACAGATCTCTGGCCTGGTCGTAATAAATTACATAGAGCTCCGTTTCAGTTTATCTACAAACTATGGATTCCTGTTGAGCAAAAGTATATATATTTTTTTAAAACACCATTAAATTTAGTATTCTGGAGTGCAATTTACAAGTCAAATGGAATCCACAACAAATTGATGTTTACAATGCACTACATTAAAACTTTATTTTGACAAGAAAATTATATTTTATCGACTTAAAACCACAAGAGAATTCGCATTTCTTGCAAAAATGCAAATGTGAATGCTTCTTGCTTAAGAATGTCAAGAAAACAGTTGAAAAGTAGCTTAAAACAGCAGAAAGAAGCTTCAAATATCAGAAGGAAGCAGAATTGTTCCTAATGTAATGGACTGCCAGGCTGCAGCTGATATAAACTGTTGATCTGACAGTACTGTGTGTGTGGGTTCACTCTCAGCCACTATAACACAATTCAGCTGAATAGCTCTTAAAATGCCTGAGTTATCGTAGTTTTTCTTTTTTTACTAAGGTGGCCATCTTTGATTTTTGATTTGGATGCAGTGTGATAGGGAACGTTCTCATCTATAACCTCACCAAATTAAATCCATTCAAAAGTAGTGTTAGTGGCCATCCTGGATTTTTTATTTTCATTCAGCATTTGTCTGATTTATAGTATTTTTCTTTTTTTTTTTGCTAAGGTGGCCATATTGGATTTCTGATTTTAAGTCAGTCTATTAGGGATTGTTGTCAGCTACCAACATGCCCAATTTCAGATGAACAGCTCTAAAAAATGGCAGTTATCCTAGTTTTTTAAATAAAACAGCTGAATAGTAGCTAAAGAAATGTAGAAAGAAGCTTAAATTTCCAAAAGGAAGTGAAGTGAGCTTAATTGTGCCCACTGACGTTGAAAGAAGCAGAAATTAGCACAATAAAGTTGAAATTATCTGAGAAAAGCAGAAATTTACCAAAAACAGCTGAATGGTAGCTAAAACAAGCAAAAAGAAACTTAATTTACCAGAAGGATGTGGGTAGAGCATAGATATGCTGAATTAATCTGAAAATAGTTGAAATGATAAAAAAGTGGAATTAGCTGAAAAGGTGAAATTAGCACAAAGACAGCTAAACATTAGCTGGAATTTGCAGAAACAGCTGAATTGAGCAAAAATCAGTTGAAAGGAGCATAACAAACTGGTACTAGCAGAAATAAGTTATAGAAGCACATGTTGGACTAGCTGAATTAAGCTGAAAGGAACACAAAACAGTTGAAAAAACAGCTGAAATTATATTTTTTCCCATACCCAACAACATTTAAACTTATCGCATCTTAAACTCCATGTTTTTCCAAAATATATTATCTAAAGAGTTTTTTTTTTTTTTTTTACATCTAGTGAAAAACAACTGTGTTATTCACTGTGTGACAGTGACACGGAAAGAGGATTTGATCCATGTTGTCTGGCTTCATGCAGAAAGATTTATTTATCATAGTGATAATACATCTCCATGATAAATCCAAAAGACCATGTAATGCACACATCTGTTGGTTGTTAGTGTGATGAAACACATATGTTTTTTTATTATTCCAGTAAGTGATTAAGTGGTTGACGCTAACCCTCTTAAATGATTATGGTTATTTGTTTAAAAAAAAAAAAAAAAACTGGTAAAATAAAAACGTATAAATGAATAAATACGTCGAAAATACACGGGCATGTTAAGAGGAGCGGCTCATTTGACCTGCAGGGGGCAGCACCGATCACGTGACTAAACTAAACCGCGAAGAAGAAACGTAAACAGGAAGTAGAAGAGCCGCTGATGCTTAAGGTTAGCCGTCTGTTTTCTGTATACCTTAAAGTGCTTATATTTATGCAATTATTTTGAAAGTTTAAGTGATAAAATTAGCGCTCCAAAAACATTTATAATTAAGAAATCTATATAATCATAACAAACCGAGCTTCAGTGCAAATATTGTTGCACATAATTTGTGAATTAAATCACCAGAGTGGACGCTATTGTGAAATTGTGCAAAGAACAAGTTCGATAATTTTATTACAACTTATTTACTGCTTATATAACTGTTTTTGTTGAGTTTCAAACATGTCCTACACTTGTATTTCTTTTTGTTGTGTGTGTTGTTTTTAAAAATATCTTGAACAATAGTCCTCCCAACTTTAAAGTCTTTTAATGTTTTTGGAGAGATACTGTCAGCTTTTAAAGGTACTCATTGCAAACTCTGAATCTATCAAACAGTTATTCTAAACTCAAATTGTGCTGTTTGAAAGAGTTTAGTCCAGAAGGTTTTCCCCAGTAAAATAATAATAAAATACCTGCATGTATGTGTGTACTTTTTAAAAAGTATATTCATTATATTTGGGCATTTGAACAGTTTTGGGTGATGCTAAGAAATTGAATCTTTGCAATAATATAAAACAGAAAAGCCTGCAAACAACACTTAAACAACTTAAGAACAATAACATGTCTTGAACGTTCAATACTGCAAACAACATATGACAAATTAGAAAAAGGTAAAGGTTGTATGTTTTAATTTTGTCCTCAAGGGACACGCACACAAACTTTCAGTTCTGCCTTTTCTTTACAATTCAGTTTTCTCCAACCAGTTGATATAGAATATAAATAATGGCTGTTTTACTTTATCTACTGACTGTGCATGCGTGTCGTTTTAGGTGGGTATTAAGAGCATTAATTTTGTCCACCAATTGATGCCTGCATGCCAGAAATCCAAGTGCATGTCTAAATAATAGGGGATCACATCTGAAATCAACAACCAATAAAATCTGATCCCCAAATCTGTGTTCTAGGCAGAAGTCCACACATGAAACTGTTCAATAATCCTCTCAGTTAGTCGCCATGTAGGTTTGATCAACACAGTAATCTGACAAATTCTCCCATTACTGATGTGAATTATGATTATGAATGTAGGATCTCTAAAAATGATAAATTCTGAAAGAATAAGCTTATTGAAACTGAATAAAGCTCCATGTATGCATGCACGTCAGAAAATCCACAACTGAGACCACAATCTGAGCTGCTTTTATCTGTTATGTAAACTGTACAAAAAAACCCAAAAAACTGTTAATACTTGTTGAAAATGTATAAATAATCAGTCAGTTAATGTAAAACTAATCAGCAGCAGCCTTATTAAGCACTTTGAGTTTGATAGAAATGCATTATTATTATTTTTTATTGTTTTCTGATGTTTAACAAACCAAAGTGTTGTAATGCAGACAATGAAAAACAGCCTTTGTCTCACGTGTGGTCTTGTCTGTCGCAGGCCTCCAGCATGGCGGGCAGACGGGTGTTGAAGGCTGTGCTCATTGACCTCAGTGGAACTCTACATATAGAAGATTCAGCAGTGCCTGGGGCGCAGGACGCCCTCAACAGGTGAGGAACAGCCACAAATAAGTGATGAGTAGACAATGGAGGGCCAGTAGTCTGAATATCAGTGAGTTTGAAACAATTAAATGGGTATTTGGGAAATGTCTGAATGTTCTTATCCTCTGTGTGGAGCAGAGTAATGCCATCTTTGGTGCCGGTGGGGGCGGTTTAAGGGCCTTATTCAAGGGCCCAGTGTGGGACAAATGAGGGTGGTGTGAGCGCTTCACCTCTCCCACCCACATTTTGATGCTGTTGGTAGGCCTGTTGCAATAAACAATAAATCAATTAATTGCATGATAATTAAAATGATCCTCATTTTCATTTACCGACTTTATCGTTTCTTCGTTTCTCTCTCTTTCTTCTGAAGACACTGGATGGCAAAAAGCTCAACTCTGGTGTTCTTAACCGACCCCTCCCTTTCGCTCTCTCTTCTCTTTAAAATCTGTTTTAACCGTCCAAAATCACATTTTTGGATCATTAAAAGCAGCTAAGCTGAGAAGCTAAGCTACAAGCTAAGCTAACAGGCTGACCTCGAGAAAAAAACTGTTTTGTCGAAGCTCCAAAATTCACGGTTAAAACCTGTGCCTTCACGTAAATTGTTTTTTTCTCTGCAAAAAAAAAAAAGCTGAGAACTTGTTTACTGATTTTTTTTTTATTAATTTTTTTTATTAAAAGCTTTGTATGACAAATGCTACGCTAAAGAGCTCAAACTGCACTGAGCGTCCGCCATATTGAGAACCGAAAAATGGGACAGAGAGACAGCCCATCTCACGTTAAGGGGCCTCCTTCCCATATTTCTTAGAGACAGGCTGCTCGCTCTCTCACTATCCATCCTTAGGTTCAAACAGTCTTATACCGCCATCCAGTGATCAAAAAAATGTACTACGCACAAATCAACCACCATTTCTTCTTCAATTTGACAATTGCTAATTATTGTCAAATTTCAAACAATATTATCGTTAATTGCAATAATTTCTGAGACAATTAATCGCCCAGCAAAATTGATCGTGACAGACCTAGCTGTCGGTCGATCACAGGCTCATCTTCTCTAACTTCTGTACCCCCATTTATTTCATATAGTTATAAATTCTACATGCACTTTTAACCATCGGAGACTTTGTTTATGTGTTCTGATGTCATCAGGTTACGTAAGGCCTCTGTATCGGTGAAGTTTGTGACCAACACGACTAAGGAGAGCAAGAGGAATCTACTGGAACGACTGCAACGTCTTAACTTTGACCTGCAGGTGAAACATCGAAGACCGGAGGTTTTTTTTGTTAAAAATGTTTATTACGCTAATATCAGAGAATTATAACATGAATTATAAAAAAGGCAATTTTTTTTTTTTTTATTTTTAAATTGTAAATTAAATAAAGCATTACCTGGAGTGCTGGATTTTTATTTATTTTTTTTAATCTATGAACGTACAGGAAGAAGAGATCTTCACATCTCTGAGTGCAGCACGAAGTTTAATAGAGCAGAAACAACACCGACCACTGCTGCTGGTGGAGGACGGCGCACTGGAAGACTTCACTGGTACTTGAAGTGTGAGAAGGAAAACACTCAATCTTATTTCTTTTTTTATTTAGTTATTCTATTTCAAAACCTATTTCGGCTCCAAATAATAAATCTTTAGCTGTTTGAGCTAATGTGATGACACGATTTATTAAATTTCTCAAATTGTTCATTTTGTCCTTTTAACTGCAGGTATTGACACTTCAGAGCCGAATGCTGTCGTCGTTGGACTCGCCCCTGATCACTTTAATTATCAAACTCTCAACAAGGCTTTCAGGTGGAAAACTTGTTCTAATTTATTCTCTCATGTTGTTTTTGTCACTTATCATATATTTGTATTTAAATTAGCTAATACTACATTTAGCCTAAGAATCAAATATAAAAGTTTTTTTTTTTTTTTTTTTTACCTACCGTGATTGTTGTGAGGCCAATATTTTAATCCATGTTGCATTTTTCCCTAGAATGATTCTGGATGGAGCCCCTCTTATTGCCATTCATAAAGCTCGCTATTACAAACGTAAGGATGGTTTGGCCCTTGGCCCCGGGCCCTTCGTGACAGGGTTAGAGTATGCCACAGACCGTCAAGCTACTGTTGTGGGAAAGCCTGAAAAAACATTTTTTACTCAGGTGAACATTTCTTATTGTTTGTATTAGTTAAATATATATATTTATTTTTAAAAATGTAATTCAAATGTGCTGTTTTTAAACAGGCCCTGGCTGATTTAGGATGTAGCCCCAGTGAGGCTGTCATGATAGGAGATGTGAGTATTTTCTCAAGTTGTTTTTCATTTTGGCTGGTTATCAGTCTGTTGGAAGCAATCAAATAACCAATCTACCCAATTTCTTTAAAAATGTCCTTTTTTTAATTTTTACTAATACTATTGCCTGAAGGCTAAGAAGCTATAATATTTTTGCATGAGTTGACCAGCAGACACATTTTAATGAAACTGAGTCGTCATGATCAGTGTATGTACTATTTCATCTAATTAAATTTTGGAGTCAACCTAATTCAAGTTGGCCACATCGGTTTATTGATAACACAAAAATGACTAAAACTCAAGTCAGTTTTCTAGATATTTGGTGTGGTAGTGACTGACATTCATCCTTCAAGCACTACACATTGTGCAGCATATTTGCTTAAAACTTTGGCATTAACAGTAAAATCAAAAGGCTGTCTGTGATTGCATACACCACTACTGTATTTTTTGCCCTATAAGTCACGTTTCTTTTGTCATCGTTTGCACGCCCTGTGACTTATACACCGAAGCAAAAATATTTATGGATTTTTTTTCTCCATTTTTATAAAACAAGTTTTGGCTGAGATATATTTTCATTCATTCTGACTGAAAATATTGAACACTACCATTTTCACTCAAGTAGTATGACATGCCGGTGTATCATGTAATAGGTAAAAGTGGCTATTAATGACACAGTCGGCTTGCCATAACCTGCCACCTTCATTCTGCTTGCTTGGCGCAACCATCAAATTAGCTTAATTTCGCTGCACCGCCCCAGCGAAATGCAGCTGATTTGACTGTCAAAGTGCATTTATTAAGTAAAAGTTCAACTGAGACACACCTTTACTATAAAGTCAAGCAAATAAATAATTGTTTTAGGTGCTTATCTTGTTAAATTTCAAAGAAATGCACAGGGACCCGTCCCTCTGCTCGTTCCTACTTCCACGTATCGGCTTTTGAAACGCAGCCGATTTGACTGTCAAAGTGCATTTATTAAGGAAAAGTTAGACTGACGCACACCTTTACTATAATTTCGAGCAAACAAATAATTGTAAGTGTTAATCTGGTTAAATTCTTGTTAAAGTCTTCTCATGCTCTTTCCCGCCGCCGCCATTTGTCAGTCAATTGATTTTTGGCACAACACCGGCCCACGTTTCCGGGTTGTCAGCGGTGATGCATAATAGATGCAACATATACAGCGAAGCAACATATTTATGATTTTTCCACTTTACTAGACATATTTGGACTGATGTGACTTATAGGGCGGTGTGATGTACGGTGGAAAATACGGTAGTTATAATTTAGTAAAGTCCCCAGAAAGCTCAGCGCTCGAACACTTCTTGCAAGGTTTCATGAAACCATGCCCTTTAGAAGGTTTGACTGAAGTGGCTGTAATGCTTTTCCTACAATGCCCTTAATTATAATATGTGTATTTGTTGGTGCCACCTAAAAGTTAGTAATTTTCACGTTCACACAGTACAGTAATTATTTTAAGCAGCTGTAGACAATGAGGGTAATAATAATGCTGCATGGAAGGTTGATGGTTTATTCCTGCAGGATGCCAGAGATGATGTAGGCGGAGCTCAGAGAGCAGGAATGCTGGGTATTCTTGTTCGAACAGGTAAGTTAACTCCTCCCATCTTTATTTCACCTTCCTGCTCTTCCATTTTATCTTATTGCCAACTTTTGGTTTCAGCTGGATGTTTACTGAGGAATTGGACGATGAGTGAACATGTCTTACTGTCGTATTTCTGTTTGAACCATTAGAATCCATCTTCTTTCTTATTTCAGGTAAATACAGAGACGGAGACGAAAATAAAATCGAGCCACCGCCTCACCTGACATGCAACAGTTTCCCAGATGCTGTCGAACACATCCTGCAGAATCTTCTTTAAAATACAATTAACACACTGATACGCTCACGTTTTTTTTTTTTATTCATAAATTTGCAAGCAGAAGCAAAAAAACCTGTCACATATCGCTGTTGCAGTCTAGAAACAGTTAATAAAAAAAAGTTCCTGTATTATTCTTGAGTTTAAAAATGAGAATAATCCTGCTGTTGTATGTAGTTTGACTGATCATCTTTAATTTAACATTTCTGAAGTGAAAGTTTGAAACATGTTTTCGTGGAACAAGTTGTCCCCAGTCATCATAATTTAAATAAAATTGTTTAGGAGGTTTAAATATAGTTTCAATCATTGTTTTTTTTCTTCTTTTTTTACAATATGTCAAAAAAAGTTTAAAACAAAGTTGTCAAACTCAAGATTTAAAAATGTAGTTTTAGCCCAGAGCCAATCTGTGTCAATATTTATTTAAAAGGGTGAAAATAAAAAAGTAGCAATTATGTCTACATGTACAAATTACTTAAAAAAAAAAAAAAAAAGTCATTCCATATAAATTAGAACAAATCTAAATTATTAAAAAAACAAAAGCACATCAACATTAATTGTGTCTTGTCTCAGAGAGCTGCCGGCACCTGGGGGAGCAGATGGTGGGGGTTAAGGGCTTTGCTCAAGGGCCCAGAGTCAGTTAAATGAGGGTGGAGGCAGGTGTGGGTGTTTCATTCATTTTATTCAACCTGTATTTATACAAGTTAACATATAAAATACAGGCAATTGAAAAATTCAAAAAACTGCAATTCTGACGAAACGCAAAGTGATGCTGAACGACAGATGAAGAAGCTGAAAGTACCGATAGTTAAAACTAAAACAAGCATATCATAAGGGTAAAAGTAGCATAAGGCTAGCAAAAATGTCAAAAGGCTAGCTAAAAGTAGAAATAGGTTATATAAAACCAGCAAAATACTGGCTAAAAATAGGAAATGGTAGCTCAAAGTATGTAAAAATTAGCTAAAAGCAGCAAATGTGCGGGCAAGATGGGGCAGCTGGCTTGTGACCTGAAAGCTGCGGCTTGACTCCCAGCCTTTCCCACATGTCGTGGTGTCTCTGATCAAGACCCAGGTCTCCAATTACTCCCTGGGTGCTTGCATAGCTGCCCACTGCTCCACCTGGGTGTATCTCATTTGTGATGGGTTAAATGCAGAGAACCAATTTCGCCATTGTATGGGAACATAATGATGACAATCTCAAACTTCCCTTCCCAAATATCTAGCTAAAAGCAGCCAAAGGCTAGGTTTCGTCCCCAATCCCTAGCTTCTGCACCACCACTCCCCTAAACATAAAACTACTGACATTGTACTTTAAAATTACAGTAGAATGTGGGGGTTGGGGATATACATGCACATTGTCTGTTGCGCAACATCTTTTTGGCTGCAAGTCCATTATCAAGAGTTCGATCAAATTAATTTGATGCTCTGTTCACATCAAAACCAAAGATTACTGGCAAATTTCAAAGTCTTCAGCTTCAACGTTGGCCAGTTATCATGAGTAGTCTTCACTAAGTATGCTCAGTTTTATTAACATTTTATTTAATGCATAAACAATATGATTTTCCTTACATTTTTGCCAGTGAAAAGTCACTAGAAGCCAAAGTTAGCATTAGCATCACACAGACTCGTATTCCCTGTCCCAGGCCGTGTATCTGTCCATCAGGTTTCTGGCTGATGGTTTGGTGCGTGAAATCGCCTCCATGAAGTCAGCCGTCATCACAGCTCCCAGCTGGATCTCAGGCATGTCTGTGTTAAAAAAGAACCACAGTGAGGGATATCACCTGCACGAGAACGTTTGTGTTTTATGCGTTGTTTTACCATTCTGATGCGACTCCAGAGCATGAATTAGTTTACGAACTGGTTTCATAGCTGCTTCTTTACACACTAATCTGATATCAGAACCAGAATATCCCTCCGTCTCCTGCAGCAAACACACAAACAGGCAGGTAAAGTCTCTCATGCAAAGATGTCTCGCTTCACAACAATATTAACACATGCATGACGACTTCATTAGTTCTGTCTGCCTGTACACAAACCTCTGCAAGCATTTCATAGTCCAGCTCCGTCTGTAGCTCTATCTCTCCGACGGAGCTGAGCGGAGGCAGCCAATGAGACACCATGGCTTGGCGTGCGGCCGATGAGGGAAGACTCACAAGAATCCTCTTCTCCAATCTCCGCAGCATGGCATGGTCCAGCTTCCTGAATGAAGAACAATTTAAATGACATCAAGTGTGATCCTGTGTTAGAAAAATTAATTAATCAAGAAGAGAAAATCATAATTTCAAGCTCGTATTATTTTCCTGCAAATGTAAAAAAGTTTTTCAACTGAAATAAAAATTTCAGTCAATTACAGTGCAGATACTTAGTTGATATTATTTCATCATACAAAATATAAAACGCATTTGATTTTGTTAAAGCAGTACCAAGGCAGGTTGGAGGCTGCGAGAACAAACACCAGGTCTTCAGATCTTGCAAGGCCGTCCATCTGGATCAGCAGCTCCGTCTTCATTCTCAGGCTCCCCTCGTGCTCTCCCCTTAAAACCAGAGGTGCGTATTTTTTAGTACATTTGTTTTTGCACGTCACTCAAAACAGTTTTCTGGGTCTCAAAACATCATGAACAGCATTTCTGGCACATAGTGGCTGAGCTCACCCCAAGCTGGTTCCCCTCTGTCCCATCACGGACTCCAGCTCGTCCAGGAAGATGGTGGACGGGGCGTGGTACCTGGCCAGCTCGAACAGAACCTGCATGCGTACACGTATGTAAAACTAGGTGCAACTTCTGTTTTGCCACTTGCTTTGAGTACCTACCCTGACCAGTTTCTCAGAGTCTCCCCTCCACTTGCTGACGATGCTGGAGGCAGAAATGTTGAAGAAGGTTGTCTTGCATTCAGTCGCCACAGCTTTAGCAAGAAGTGTTTTCCCCGTGCCTTCGATTGAGGAAAACATGAATTCCAAAAACAGCTAAGTTTTAGATTAATATTGCACTGAATAAAAACCTTACCTGGGGGGCCATAGAGCAACAAGCCCTTCCATGGGGATAAGATGCCTGTGAATAACCATGGATACTGAGAAAGAGAATAATTTTTAAAAAAGTAGAAATAATGAGACCAGACTGTCAGACATATGTGAATAATAATAGTGCTTCTTCCAGCTATTTAACTGTCAATAATGGTGTACCACAAGGCTCAGTCTTAGGTCCCACCCTTTTCACAATCTACATAAATAATGTAGGTCAGATCATTCCTGATTACATTTCTATGCAGATGACACAGCTGTTTGTTGTCGAGCTAAAACAGTTGCTAAGGTTTTCCAGTTTTGACAGTCTGCTTTCATCAACATCATCCAGTCAGATTTGTTTTGTCTCAAACTGGTGCTAAATGCTGATAAAACCAAAGGGATGTTGTTTTCAACAAAGTCAGAACCAGCAGTCCTTTCTTCTATCTACGAATGGTGTCCCTGTTGAGTTTGTCGATTCTTACAAATGGGAATTTTGGTCGATGCACGTCTCTCTTTTAAGCCTCATATTGAAAACTTAGTAAATAAATTGAAAGTAAAACTGGGTTTCTTTTTCAGAAATAGATCTTGTCTAACATTAAATGCTAGGAAATGCCTTGTAACTGCTACTTTCCTTCTGTCCATTGACTTTAGTGACATTATTTACATGAATGCTCCTGCAAGCATCTTGCAGATGTTGGACGCTATTGTGGTGCGCTAAGTTTCATAACTGGCTATAACTACCGTACCCATGTACCCTGTACTGGTCAGATGGTCATCCTTAGGCTCTCACACTGGTTCATCGTCATTTATAAATCACTTCGTGGTCTGCTGCGTTCTTATATCTCCTCCTAAATGTCACTTCATCAGTTCATCTACAGTGTGCATTCCCAAGACATCATTACCTGCAGTGTCCCCTCAGTGTGGATCGAATTTGGCAAAAGGGTCTTCTCTCACTCTTCTCCTGTTTCCTGGAACACCTTGCAACAAGATCTGAAACTGTCAGCTTTGACCTCTCTAAGGGTTTTTAAACTACTGGAAAGTTCATGGCAAAAACCAATGCAGATATGTTCCGGTTTATAGTATCTTACACCATTTTTTAATATAGCATGTTTTTTTTTTTTTTTTTTTTTTTTTTTTATCACTTCATTTATATACTTTTCATGTTATATGCAGATATTTATTGTTGTTTGTATCTCATTGTTTTTTTTTTAAAGCAGGTCTCTCTTGTAAATGAGTCCTCATGACTCAATGAGACTAACCTGTATACATAAAGGTTGAATGAATGAATACAGCATGAACTTACAGTAAATCACATTATAGTTTAAAAATGTTTTCTAAATAATACAGACCAATCAAAAGCTGAGCTGTCTGCAAAGAAAACTGACCAGCCAGATGAAAAGCTGATTCAGTGCACCAAATACCACAAAGCACAAATTAGTCTAAATTTTAGCTGGCAGAAAGAGGAGCTGGCTCAAATCATCCTGCTGACCTTATAAGCTGGAGAATGACTAATAATGGAGATGGAAGGTGGAAGGGCGGTGTTATTCAATAAAACAGGCCAGCAGAATATATGTAAGAAAATGGACACATCAGTCCTCATCTCTGTCTGGAAATGTCAAGAGGATGCAGACAGCCTGATTTCTTGTCACGAAAAATGTCTGGATGACGATGATGATAAAAAAGTGTGTGCGTGTTTGGCTTTGATATCTTCATGCAGTTGCAAACTTGTGTGGAGAGGGTTGCGCAAATTCCTCTGCCTCCCCCTCTTGCCTATCCATCTGAGTATGCGTGTTACCATGAGATCCCAGATATGGATTTAACGTCAGCCTAATAGACCGACCTGACCCCGACGCCCATCTTCTCTTTAAGCCCTTTAAAGGAGATGTATTCAGAATCGAAGAGCGACGGCTGATGCTGAAATACCAACGCGCTCATGTGCCCGTCTCACCTTAATGGGACAAACGACGGCCTCTTTGACTAATCGCTTGGCGTCCTCCAGACCGATGATGTCCTCCCAGCGCACATTTGGACTGTGCAAATAGATGTCCTTTAGGGATGGACACACACAAAAACAAAGAGTGGGAGTTGCTAGGCTGGCTTAAATGGGTGTCCTTTAGAATGAAACCTCATTTAAGTGAAATGGATAGAAGCTGGGCCTTCATTAATATGGCACAGCTATCGTATTTTCCAGCGTAAAAGTCAGTTTTTTGCAGAGATTTGCCAGTCCTGTGACTTATATGCCAAAGCGATTTACCAGATTTTCCACCCTATAAGTCACAGTTTTTTGCATTATTTACATGCCCTGCGACTTATAGGCCGAAGCGACATATTTATGGATTTTTCCCCATATTTATAAACCAATTTTTGGCTGAGAAATGACGGTTTTCATTCATTCGGACAAAAAAAAAAAAAAGCAGTACCACTTTCAGCCACTTGATGGCAACAGAGTAGTAGTAGCAGTAAGGCATGTTGTTGTATCATGTAATAGGTAAACGTGGCCTTAAAGACAAATTCAAAAAAGTTCAAGACTAGAACAACTGGACTTTATTTATTATACATTATAGTTTTATTTTCTTGAACTTTTTTGAATTTACCATGTCCTTGATGACTGAGAATTTTCACCGGCTATTAATGATACAATCGGCCTGCCATAGTACCCCCACATTCGTTCCGCTCGCTGCTTGGAGCGAGTTAAACCAGTTGCACCGTCCCAGCAAAATACAGCTGATTTGACCATTAAAGTGCATTTATTAAGCAAATGTTAGACCGAGACACACATTTACTATCATTTCGAGCAAACAAATAATTGTTTTTAAGTGTTAATCTTGTTAAATTCTTGTTAAAGTCCTCCCGTGCACGCTCCCGTGGATGCCATTTGGCAGCCCATCGATTTTTGGCACAACACCGGCCCACATCTCCAGGTTTAGCCTACATTTCCGGCTAAATGTAGCCGGTGCATCAGTGGTGACGCAATATAGATGTGACGTATGGACTGATGCGACTTCTAGGGCGGAGCAACGTGTACGGCGGAAAATACGGTATATATGGTTTTTTTAAACAAATTTTGACTGACACTTTAAATGTTCATTCATACTGACATGAACCAGAGTAAACATTAACATTTGCAGCCACTAGAGGCGCAAGAGGGCCCTCTAGGCGGTAGGTGTATATGTTGTTCTCTCCCCAGCATATATATATATATATGTATATGTGTATGTGTGTGTGTGTGTGTTATTTTTCCTTGTCATTTCGCTTTTTTTGACTGATGCGACTTATATTCCGGAGTGACTTATACGCCTGAAAATACGGTATTTATTCTTTACAAAGCTCTTTATTGCTCTCTAGTGGACAAAGTCATGACCATATGTTTCTGTAGATTATCACATATTTCATTACGAGTCGAGATAAAAGCCTATTTTAATCTGGGGTTTTATTTGTGCTCATTGTCGTCAGTGTGTGCATTTTATAATTATGATGTGTGTAGTACCCGACTGATGATAGCAGCCAGTTCCTTCATCTCACCACTCATCCCTGAAAAGCCGCTGAGGGGCTTCAGCAGCCGCTCCTGCATCACAAAAACACTGGCGATAATACGACTAGTGCATTGCATGCGTATATATACATTTTAGTTGCTTATCATAAGAATTGTTTGTGTGTGTTTTAATGATTCAGGGCATTTATTGTCCACTGCTATAATAAGCTTTTGTGTCTGTGCAAGCATGTCTGAACCTGTCTGTTAGCAAAATATCTAATAAACCACTCAACAGATATGAATGAAACTCTCAAAAAGCAGTAATTGGATGTCCATCTACAACTGGCTGACTGTTGGAGTTAAGCTAATTTAAGATAGCTGCCAAAGCTAATCAGCCTTGGGAAACACAAAAATGGCTATACCTCAGTACATTTTTACAAACATAGCTAAATCTTAGTGTGACTGAGAGGCATTCATTTATTCAAAACTTTGACCTGCATGATGGCGAGCGATATGTATTCCATCAAAAAATGCTAATTTTATTTACCATGTGGTCTGAGTGAGAGCCTGATCCTCTGACAGCATCAAAGATTGTTTCTTGGCCATCAGCCATCTGGACCCAGAAAAAAAAGAGGAATTAAACATTGAGCTAAAGGCTTTACAGGAACAAAAAGGCAACAGTCTTGTAGTCCAAAACAGTACTTTTAGAATAAGTTTAAATCCTTAAACATCAATATGAATTCATGCTGTTTGCTGTTAGTTCAGGATTTATTTTAAGGATGAAGATTTTGGCTGTAAATATAAAAATTCCTGCTCTCAAACTGAGAATGTTTCTCCTGTTATTATCCAAGGAGGGCGACCCGCCCGTCCTTCCATCATGATGTGATTGATTTGGAAAGCAATGTGAAAAACTGACACTATTTCATCAAAATCGTAGCTGAGTTTTAACTTAAACTAGAGAAATTTAATTTCCTGTGAAAATGCAGAAAGCTTATTGCTGAAGAACTTGCTAAATTAGCTAAATTACATGCTGAATTTTAGCTGACATTAAAGAACAAGCCTAAATTAGCAGAGAAAATGAGAAAAAACACATTTCATGAATTAGATTTAAATAAGCAGAAATGAGCACAGAAATTATGAAATTAGCAAAAACAAACAAACAAAAAAAAAATCTGAAAAGGTAGAAAGAAGCTTAAACTACCAGAAAGAAGTGGAAAGAACTGAAATGAGCTAAAACGTGGAATTAGCTGAAAAGCTAAGAATAGCACAAAACAGCTAAATGGTTGCTGAAATAACTGAATCTAGCAGAAATAAGCTGAAATGAGCATAACAAGCTGAAATTAGTAGAAATAACTTAATTAGGCTGAAAGCTGCAGAAATAAACCACCAAAAACTTGAATTTATGAAATCAGCTGAAGTGAGCTAAAAACTACTAAAAAAAACAACAAAACAAACTAGCTGAAAAGGTAGAACAAGCTTAAATTAGCAGAAAAAGCAGAACGAACATGTTTGTCCAATTAGGCTGAAAGAAGCAGAAAAAAAGCACACAAAATGTGGAAATTATCTGGAACAAACAAAACAGAAATTATCCGAAAAACAGCTGAATAGTAGCTAAAAAAGGCATAAATAAGCTTTAATTACCAGAAGGAAGTGGAGAAAGCACATGCTGAATTAGGTTGAAAAAATTGAAATGAGTGCAAAAACTGTGGAATTAGCTGAAAAAGCTAAAATTAGCATAAAACAGCTAAATACTAGCTGAAATAGCAGAAAAAGCTGAAACTTGCAGAAAGGAGCAGAAAGAAGTTAGAAGAAGCACAAAACATGTTGTAGTTAGCCAAAAGGATCACAAATGAGCACAAAACAGCTGAAATTTGCACACAGAAACTGAAAGTAGCTGAACCAGAACAAAATGTGAAAGGAGCAGTAAAAAGTTGCAAACAGATCTAAAGATTTGAAGGATGTAAAATGAGCTCTATTAACTTCCTATGAGGAAAAAAAATGTCAGAAAAGGCTAAATATTTCAAAAAGCTAAAGTTGCACCCTTCTTCTGAAAGAGCTGAAGCTTTTGATATTTGATTTGTTGAAATAGCACAAGAATTGAATGAAATGAATGAAAAAGATGCGGAAAACGTAGAGAAGAAAACTGGATCACAACAGTGTGAATGCTTCACAAACATTCACACAATGAAAGGATGTGATTCACAGTATTTATTGTTAGTCTAAACACTTTTCGATTACCTTCCTGCTCATGGCAGCATTCCCAGCTGGTTTATTTCTGATGGAGGAAATGTTGAGCCCGTACTCTGAGGACTCCGGCACCGCAGAGAGAACGCTTTCCTGAGAAACGTTTCATACCGTTCAAGACAGTGAGAATAATAGTTTTCAGCGTCTAGCGGTTTATCTGAATTGTACTAAATGTGCACACGTACACTGGGAGCTGTTTTCATGACTGCGTTTGCAGACTTGGGGACTTGGGGTGAGACAATTTTGGGAAGGGGCTTCCCGGCTGAGCAGGAACGTCTGACGACCAAAAGAACAGTTCAGTTCTTGAGCACGTGTCGATGTTAAACCTAAAACCGTAAAGACTCACTTCTTGACTCCACCATTCTTCGCCTGCTTGTTTTCATCTATATGGAAAAATAAATATATGAAAATGATTAAGACAGCTTTGGCTCTGAATGTTGGTGTTTATTGACCTAACTGGTCAGAGTGTTGCTGAGTGTTTGAGTGGTGATTTTGTGCCTGGTTCTGCTGCTCTCCTGACAAGTTTTGGATATTTCTGGAACTTGGCGAGGTGATAACACTCGTACTCTATCAGCACCATCTCCAGATCGATGGTGTCACAAACCTCAAACTTCTTCATGCCACCATTTGTCTCCTGATCCAAGGCTACAGCTGCTGCCATGTAGCTGGTGGACAAATACAAATGCACACTTTATAAATTAAATAACACAACCTGGTCAACAATGATGGCTGTTTTACATAGATTAATGCACTTCTATAAAGTCTGACGAGTACAAGAAACATTTATGACTACTATAGGGTTTGATACGATGTGACTAATGGAACTAGAACTGTAAAAATATCTTTTTATTCCTGTTTTCCTAAAAGAAAGTGCAATGAATTAAAGAGTGGGTGTTAACTGACCCTTGCTCCAACAAGTGGTGGTAGATCAGAACAAGAAGGTTCTTCTTCCTCGTCTCAGTTCTCAGCTCCTCCTGTGGAACCACACAGAACACCGGCAGCTCTGAGACGCAGCCAAAACCCCAGAAACTGTTTGTTTTATTTTATTTTTTAATTCATTTGTTCCTTTCCAAGTAAGTCTTCAGATTACTTCAAGCACAGGTGTAATCTTTAAGGCAAATACAGCAAACGTTGATTGATTTTATTAATTGCACGACTGCTGATTCAGCATATTACTTTCCTGTTTATAGTTTCTTCCATGCTGTTCAACACTTAATTACTTCAGCGAACTTTGAGCAATCTTAACCATTTAGCTATCAAAAGGTTCAGCTCATTCACGTGACGGGTCCTTTAATTTTTGATCATTGTATTCTAAAACACTTAACTTTATTGTTTCATTAAAATAAATTGAGATTTTAGGTTGGCTACCGTGTTGCTAATCAGCTTTAAGTTACTGTTGCATAAATTTTAGCTTTTAGCTACAAATCTGCTAACATAAGATTTTAGGCACTAAAACGATGGTTTGCCATTAGCTACAATTTTGTTAATTTTAGTTTTTAACTTGTTCATCTAATTTTAGTTTAGTTTTTGTTAGTTTTAACTTTGACAATTTTGTTTTAGCATCTTTAACAAAGACCAAAAAAAAAGAGCAAATTGTGTAGTAACAACAGCTGTCACTAGGGGGAGACAAATCACCACGAACTGAATACGGATGTCTACGCACGTGTCCGCGTTACTAGGCAACCAAAGGACGCCGACATATTGTAGTTTTACGCGAAGCTAACATAATTAGCTTAATAACTTTGGCAATTTACAATTTGATGTTTGCGTGAAATAAATTTAATTTATCTTGAACATAAGCAAAATGAGTGACGCTTGTAAGTTGAGCCTGTTTGGTCATTTATTTTATTTTTTTTGTCGAGTAACATTGCTAGTCTGTTAGCTTCAGGTGCTAGCTCTGCGTTAAAGTTGCCAGTAATCACAACATCCTTTGTGACTTTTGTATTTACTCACCGCTTCCCGAGCTTCATGAGCGATTTTCATCGACTGATAGGACAGCTCCATATCGTGTATCAGTGAAACTCTTACTTTTATGTATACAGATTTGTTGCAGGGATGCTGTCGCAATGGTTTCTTGTTATTGCCAAAAACTCTAAATGTTGCTGTTAAGTCACATGTTACGTTTTAATAATAATAATAAATAAAAAAAGCGGTTCCAAAATGTGCTCGCAGAGGCCACCCCATTCACTGTCATGAAAATGAATCTGTAATATCACATGTCTCCACTAGAGGGCAGAAGACTTATACAATAAATACAATACCACTGCAGATTTTAATTAAAATTGGATGAAATAACCACTGGATACACTTTTACAAGTTGTAAATGTGTATCCAGTGGTTATTTCCTCAAAGTTTAATTAAAATCTGTGCAGTGGTATTTATTTATCGGAGCAAACCAAATTTAATACAGCTGCCACATGTTAGGTGAAGACTTTGTATCCATTCATGGAAATTATCAGCTTTCATTTTATTTGCGGTTTAGAGAATGCGATTATAGTTCTTGCAACCCTTCACAGCACCAAGTCAAACTTGATGTTCTCGTTAACATCTACCTGAAATCATTCTTTATGCACATCTTGCGTTATGATTCCTCCCATTAAATATCACACAACAGTTGATTTTATTTCAAAAACAGATTTATTTCATCTGGCACGGTCAGTGTCAATCTTTACCCAGTAAATTGCACATAAAGTACAGCAATACGTTCACACACAGCTGTATGTAAACTTAATGGATTACACCGTGCAGTACAATTCTTGGTTCTCTAGAAGGCTGCGTTGTCAGAGATGATGGATTCAGCAGCAGTTATGTCCCAGTAGAGCAGCACTCTGAGGTCAAGACTAAACATTAAGATGCAAACACGTAGTGTCGTTTTGTTTCATTATAGGTGGACAAAAATCATCATCATGAAGGCTAAAGTTAAAAGCGAGGCGGTTTTGTCCCAAGTTTAGGTGTTTTAGCTCGTACCTTGCAAATTACAGTAATATTTTACCTAAAGTCAAGAGTTTAGACATCCAGAATTTCTATTTTGCACAAAATTCTCAACCGTTTTCTAATTGAGACTTGACGCATGTTGAAAATGTCAAACTAAAAAAATTGCACAAGTTCTCAGTTTGGCAAAGCTTCCAATGCTTACCTTCATGTTTTAAATACTTTCCAGAAACGGTTACAGTAAAGAGTTTTGATGTGACCAGGGGATTTTTTTTACCTCGTAGTGCTGGTTTCTTGACTGTGGCTATGGCTACGAATTGCAAAATAAGATTAAAGATAAAAAGGTCATTCTGAAATGGTGTAGTTTGACACATTAGCTTTACAGATGTGCAACTTTGAGGTGGAGTGGAAGCTCGAGTCACATCGACCTACGATGGGCTGAGCACAATCTGTGCAGGTAGAAATGGACACGTGTAGGGCCTCAGAAGTTGTTTAGATGAATATTTAAATAGAATCTATTGCTATAAATCTACTGTGGACGTTGCCATTGTTGACCTACTTTCAGTCACATTCCACATTTTCCAAAAGTGAGCAACTTTTTGCTTTAAAATTTTCTAATTTAAGAGGAAAAACCGTAAATTTGGTTCCATTATATATCAAATTAGACCCTTGTTTTAAAGATGGTTGTGGCATGTGTGATGAAACTAACATTTTTAATTTTAGCAATTCAGTTCCTGAAAAAAAAGCAACACTTCACTTCCTGGCAGCGCAGTTTACTCACTTTTTCTTAAGAGAAATCTCAAAGTTTGGCAGCGGTAAGGCCTCGTCATCCTAAAATGATATGGATATTTTTTCTTCAAGATGTTTAAGACTTGGGTGATTAAACAGGCAGTCTGAGCTCTAGAAGATGTGACTAAGTAAAGTGACAAACCTCATGGGCAAGGTTCGAGTCTAAATTAAATGTTGGGACATATTACAAGTTGAGCATTCCTTTCTCTTTTATGGTGAACGGATCTTAAAGGAGGATGAAACGAACTGCGAATTTGATTGTCACAAACTACAAGTTGAATCTTTTACACCACCCTCACGTCAGATTTTAGTCGAGGGGTTTGCCGATATCGCAGTCCACGTGCAAGCAGCTGGTCGTCTGCCGTCATCAGAAAACTCCAGCATCTGCGAGCAGCGTACCAGCCTCGAGCAGCAGGGCCTTCATATAAACATGTGCGGTGTAAAACATGGTGACGAAGTCCTGGGTGCTGAACAGGGTGTCCGCAAGAGCAAAGCCGAGTGTAGAAGGGATGAAACCTCTGCCGTACTCCACCATCCAAGTCCCAGAGCTCCACTGGACTGACGTGGCTTCGCCCACTCCATGGTCAAGGGTGTCACCTGCGGGCATATGGATTATTACTTTTATCGTATCCTTTATTCAGGCACATTTTTGATGACGTTAATAAACAAGTCGCATTAAAACGTGCTCATTCATTACCCGGATAGTAGACTTCACTCTTGGTAGTCCCCTCCTTCCACTGCCGGAAAGTACCAGAGATGATGGTGTCTGAGATTTCAGCCCAGTAACGACCTGATGTAAACGGAAGAAATTCAGTTTTAAAGTTTGGTAAAGTGACAAGGTTGGTTTGCCTTTTTCCTCATGATTTTAAGTTGTGACGCGGCATCTCCCGAGCAGATCGATAGAAGCATCCTTCTTCCTTACCCGAGTGTCCTCCCGTGTCCACCGCGGTACCAAACAGCAGAACGTACTCTGTGAGCGAGGCATGGAGGAGACACATGGAGCCCATCCAGCCTCCTGCATTCACAAACACCCACTGCAAGTCCTCATCCGGCAGAATGTGACCTGGATACCTGATTCAGGGACACTTTGTTAGCCATTTACTTCATTTCCTGAAGAAAAGTTGGGATCAAGTGTTGAATCTGAATAAACACTGAACGTGTCCTTTTTGAGGTTTCACTTAAGACCAAAAACGTAAGAAAATACGTTTTGATTTTGTGTTATCACAGTATTTCTTGCAGCCACAATCAGTTAATATGAAATGACTCTCTTTAGCAAATAGGATACTGTTTTCTTGAGGCACATGGTACCTTTTCCTGAGCTCTACCACCACTTTGGAGAACGCCTGTTCATGGTCCTGCCCTGGAAATGAACACATTTAGACATCCGTGACTGTTTTGTTTGTTTTGATTGAACATATTAAAAAATATGAGTGAATGCAAGCCGGTATAGTTCAATGTACACACCTCACAGTAACTTACCCGCGTACTGCTTAGCCAACTTGGCGACATCTTCTTTGTTGAAAACGTACTGCTTGGTGGCGAGCCAGTGTCGCAGCAGCAAGAAGAACAGGACGGCGACTGTGACGAGGACAAACAGTTTAAAAGTCCTTTTAACAAAAGACATGGTTACGTGAAACAAAATGCAACGACAGAAACAAGACGGAGAAGCAGGTTCGGCTACATGAGTGCTGACAAGCTGCTGAACTAGTATTCTTTTTCCTGGTCACGTGATCGCGAAGGAACGCGGTTTAGCCAATCACGGACCGCGCTCCCTTTTCGGGCAATGGATACTCCGGGGTTGCCAGCACTTAATAAAAACGAAAAATAGATTAATTAAGTAAAGCGTATATTTTTTCATGCTACATATTTTTATTATACATATGTATATCATATATATGATTTATTGTCATATAAAAATCACTGAAACTTTTAAATGTATTTCTTTTTTTTTATTTTGAGGATTCACATATTAAGTACTTTTGGACTCCAACTGGCATCCAGTTTTCTATAAACAGGAAGTAGGCTAAGGGGCACGGCGCGCATCGACAGTGTTGGTAAAAGCTAAAGTTCAGAACCAGCTGTTGTGTCACTGGTTCAACTGATTGTGAAAGTTAACAAACAATACTAGTCAGAATGAGCGAGGACCCAGATGCCGGTTTCGACCCAAGAGGTATGTTTTTTTTTTTTTTTAATAAGACAAGTTCATTCATTCCGAATATTGTTGAGCTCTGCACATTTGCAGCAATAAAGCTGCAATCAATTCAGTGATATTTTCAAATTTTATGTTTAATATATCTCATACACCAGTACTCACACTATTCACTCAAGTTTTAAATGTATTTATTAGGTACAAATGTATTAGTTGAGCCCTGTGCTTTATAACAAACACAAGTCATGTGACTTGAATGGCAGATGTGGCTGAAACCTGCAGCAATGCTTTGCTGCTAATAATCACCAACTTTTGGTCCAATGCAGTTAGAATTTACATAATTATTGATTTATTTCTAATAACTTTAATCAGAGCATTATTTGGCTCAGTATGTGAACAGTTGGCTCCATTTTTTTTTTGCAGTAATATAATTTATAAAAGTGACTGTAAAAGCAGCACAAGAATAAAATAGCAAACTGTTTGAAGAGCATGAACAAGGTTTGATTTTGTCGGGCGGGGTGGGGTTATGATGCTCATCCGTTTAAGAGAGGATAAGAGAATGAAAGACGATGTGTGGTCCTTGTCTGAGGTGCACAAGTCCAGAGGGAGAGCACTGATGTTCCTCTGGTCGTACCAGCTGTCCTTAACATTCGTTACGCTCTGATTGATAAACATTTAATCTCCAGCGTTGGTCACTTTTTGCTGCCATGTGATATTTCATGTCTTGTAAATGCCAGAACACCAGCATCTGCGTTACAACCCGCTGCGAGACAGCTGGGTCCTGGTGTCGGCCCACCGCATGAAGAGACCCTGGGCCGGTCAGGTGGAAAAACCTCCTGAGGAGCACATACCCAGGTTTGATCCCCTCAACCCTCTCTGTCCTGGGAACACAAGAGCAAACGGAGAGGTATGAAGACCCAGGAGAAAACTAAAGCACGCACGATAAAAACTTTGCATTTTCTCAACTAGCTTCGTATACATTAGTTTGTGAAATGCTCTTTTTGATTTTGTGTCTTTTGAAATGTGCTGTCAGAGATCTGTTTTTTTTTTTTTTTTTTAAAGATTTTGTTGTGTGATTTTCCTGCTCGTGGATTTTGTAGAATTGTAGCATCAAACAATAATTTCAGTGCTGGATAAATACCCTTTTAAAAACATAATGTTACATAATTTTCTGTGTTTAGTAAAGCTACCAAATTAAAATGGCTCATATCTGATATTAGCTTTGGGTTAACTCCTTTATTTCTATATTGTTTTTCAGGTTAATCCAGATTACGACAGTACATTTGTGTTTGATAATGACTTCCCTGCTCTTCAGCCGGATGCTCCAGACCCTGGTCAGTTTAAACATTGTTAAAAAATATGCAATTGCATTTCCTGACAGAAGAAAAATATACACAAGATATTTGCAAATTTATTCTATATTCTAACTGTTTTGTATTTATTACACTGAATACTGATTTTGTGGTTTTCAGGTTTGGATCAGGATTCATTATTTCAGTCTAAAGCTGCCAGGGGTGTCTGGTAAGAGCACAACTTAAAGTTCACAGCAGGGAATACAGATGCAATTCTCATAAAGGCATGATCTGCCAAGAAAATTGTTTGGACACATTACCGGTGCAAGTTTCACCAATACAAGTATAGATTTTTTACACTTTAAAGTACTTAAAAATAACTACAGACACTAGTTAAAGGATTCATTTTGTTTTGGGGCCCAAGACATTCACTTTTTCCTAAAGATCTTCCTCAGTATGTAGTTTCTTTGCTTCATTTCAAACACAAAGTCTCACTTGAAGTTTTCTAAACACTTAAGTTGGCATATTTCTGCCACTTGAACAAATAAACTGATATTTTTTTTTTCTGAGACATTTTTTATTTGGTGTTTTTTGAGTGTGATAGCTTAATAAATGTAAATATTTTAGCAGGGATTAGTCAAGTCTGTTCTGCATCCCATGAGCCAGTTTTATCAAGTTTGATGTTTTTTGCATGAGCACTTACAGATACATTTAAAGTTATTTTTCTTTGACTAACTACCAATAGTGCTGCTGTTTCTCAGATAATTTCTCAAATAATTGTTTTTACGTGGTTATCTTGTTAAAGTCTTGTTAAAGTCCTCCCGCAGCTGCCATTTGGCAGCCAATCGATTTGTGGCACAAGACCGGCCCACGTTTCCAGGTTGTCAGTGGTGACGCATAGATGCAACTTATACGGTGAAGCGTCGTTTTTATGTTTTTTTTCCAATTTATTAGACATTTTTGGACTGATGCAACTTATACAATGGTGCGACGTGTACAGCTGCAAGTACGGTAACTTGTTAACTTCAGATGAGCTTAAAACCATCTAAGCTAAGGACTTGGGTAGCTGAATGGAGAAACAACAAAAACAAAGGTAAAGGTGGCCATTTTATTTATTTATTAACCTTTATTTAACCAGGCTAATTCCAGTGAGCTCACAGATCTTTTTGCAAGAGAGGCCTGGACCTGAAGGTAACCTAGTATTCATGTTTTGGACTGGGAGGAAACTGGAGTTCCTGTAGAAAACCCACGCAAACACGAGGAAAACATGCAAACTCCACACAGAAAGACCCCTGGGACAAACTGGGAATTGAACCCAGCACCTTCTTGCTGTGAGGCAACAGTGCTAACCACTAATCCATTGTGTTGCCAAATTTAAAATAATGTACAATTACTAACCATGACAAGGCAAGAGGCAATAATGTGTATGCATGTTGCTGTGTGCATGTGTGTTTGCTTCTCTTTTAGTAAAATATCACATGAACCAGTTGACAGATTTTATTGAAAGTCTCAGAAAGTAGTCACTGGGTGTACATCTATAGATTAATACCCTTTGGAGCCAATTGTATTCAAGTTGGTTATGACAACTAAGCAACTTTAACAGAAACAAAATGTCTATAACTCGGTCATATTTAAAGATATTGATCTAACATTTGTCTGAGTCATTGTTAGCAGTTTCCTGCAAAATGTCACAATATCACATACGATTGTGCGTAATGTCATTTACAAAGTTTGACCAAAACCACTGCAACTCTTCCCCTCTTGGCTTAAGACCTTAAACCTTGAAATGCATCAGACAAGGAATGTGTGGCTTTTAATAAATATCAATTTTATAATGTTTTGATTTATCCAATAAATTTTTGTGTGGTACGATAATTTCAGTATTTCTCAACACAATGAAAAACCCTTTGACTGCTCTAAAACATATAATGTGACCACACATATGATGCATGCACATCTGTACATGTTGGTTGGTAAAATGCATTTATAAATGCAATCACATCAACATTCTCTTTCAAAACAATGATGCATTCAGTTTAACAACAAATAATTTACCTTGATGTCTGAATTTAGGTTAAATAAGTAATCTACTGTACATGGAATCTGTTTTGAGGACATCTTGAAATGGAATATCCTTTAAGCTACCAGCAGATGGCGCTATTTCTCCATCATTTATGTTTAGATTGTATGTTTTTTTTTTCTCCCCTAAAACATTTTTTTTGTTTGTTTCTGTTGTTGTGTTCATAAAAAAAAATAAAAGAATATTGACTGTGGATCGATTTAGTGTCATGCAGATTAAAAATGTGAGGAGTTTTGCCGTTGCCTTCTTCTTGTTTTTGGACGACACCATACAAGACATGACAAGACGGATGTCATCATTCCCAATAAGCTACATTTCACACTGTTTTTGAAAACAAGATGTTTTTCACTTCAACCTTGACCTTCCTGTCTTTTTTTTAAAATTCTGCTACGGATCAGTGAATTGAATTTTCTCGACTAAAAGAAATGACAAAACCCACTTGTATTTTCACATCTTATCAAGAAGTGATTGTCTGCTTGTAGATGTAGATTCTGTTGCAATCTCGTATTTTGGGAGCATAAGTGGATGATTCTGCCTGACAGCGGAGTTGCATAACAACTGAATAATAGATTAAATCAAACGCATGCACCGAATGTGCCGGTTGAAAAGTGAACCGTGGGTTTAATTCCCCTGCGTTGGCAGATGTAGCATCAGTCAGGTACTGCTTGCCTCACACATCGTAAAAGGCACTGGAACAGCAGTGATTGACGCAGAGCATCGTCTTTGTGTTGACTCTTACATTTGAACGTGTTTTCCTTTAAGCCTGACTCAGCCTAGCGGTACATTAGATCGTGCGTTGTTCCTTCTACAGCGTCTGTATCGCTGCGTAGCTCTTCACAACCGACACGGACATCACTCTCTCGCTGTTGATGTTGTACGTTTGCGGCCTTTTCTATGCCTGCGCTTTGTGTACATATTTTAAGGAAAGGAACTGTGAAACGGCACTGTAGCTTGTTGCCCTGCAGCAACATCTCCGGAGCCAATTAGCGGAGAAAACGGCACAGGAAACAGGATTTTTTGAGGATCTGGGTCATGGGAGACAAAAGAGAAATAGGTTGTGGGGAAAGACAAGACGGTTACTAATGATTTTTTTTTTTTTTGTATCACCCCTCTACAGTTACTTTATGCTCCCAATTGGCACAAAAAGATTTGGCCATAGATAGTTTTACTTTTGTTAATATAATTCCTTAGAAGGGTCGTCTTTTATTGCATTAATTTATTCAGGGATTTGTTTAAATAGACCTTGATTAGACAACCCCTAATCAGAACAAGTAGAAACGGTGAACACAAAAAGTAAATTAATACAAAAAGATGTAGATCCTTGCTATTATTTTGACTTTTTTTAGTTCACTGCAGAATGTATAAACCCATTCAAATAATGTGCACAGTGGAACTGAGTGGATGCAAAATATCTACAAAATAAGTAGAAAAACATTTTCTACTCTAAATCTGAAATACAAAGACATAAAACGGAATAATTCTCTGATCATTAAGAGCCTTTAATTTTTTTAATTTAAATTTAATTGATGACTGGCTGTTTTTTTTTATAGTCAGTCATTGTTCCTTTTGATTTGATGTAAGTTAGACTAACATTTTTCTAGAATGCATTGGAAATTTACAGTCACATGACAAAACAACTTGTACAGTATTTTACTGTGACAACCAACAAATTAATGGTAATATACTGTACCTGTTCAGGAAACTGTATTTTTACTGTTAAAGCAATGTAAATTATTGTGTAAGCATGTGTTTATCTGCACTTTGTCGTTCTGTTTCTGCATTTTACGTCTGCAACATATTTAACAATTTGTTCCCATTGCATTTGTTACTTTTTAATGGTGTTTGCACGAT